TAAATGGCGCTGTGTACGTGGTCTGGCATTGTATTCAACTGCGCATTTTACATGACAAAACAAATTTATTCTTTCCCTTGTCACTTTCGTCTTGTTTTGAAGGTTTGAATTTTACAGTCTGGCTACATTTTGAAATAATTATAATGAATGGCACTCGCGGAGTTCGTTGCTAATCCAAAAGTGTACGAAATCTTGCCATTTATTTAACGTGTGTTGAACTTACGCAGGTCAATTTATAAAAACATTGCCTGCACGAGAGCAGATGTCAAATTTACCAATTACTGCCAAATACACATACCCTCAAATTCCACCGGTAACTCAATTTAAATACAATGTATGAAGAAGTTATCATGTATATGGCAACGGATTGATGCAGAAATCGGAAAATTCGTCAAGTTGGACAATGCCTCCATACACCAACTTTCCGACCGCATCCAGGCAGTTTCCTTTTTTGATGATTTCAACGTACAGGTAAGAGAGATCGAGACTTCTACCGTCGCGAGGTCCAACATCTGTCGAGTTTCTTAGGGACTGAAGACAGTATTAGCGACGCACGCATGAATTGCTTTATAGAGTGATTGACTTTCACATGACATTATACACTCCCTTCTTCATCCACAACCGTGTTTTGATGATAAAAAGAATAACGGTGACCGGATGTGGATGCGTTCACATTGGCTAACAAAACTACTCCTTTAGACTGCGCGGGCTACAATGACTGCGTCTCCGTTACGCTTATCGCTTTTCCGTTAGACCGGATCAGGTCTCCTGTGCCTTAGAGAATCATGAAAGTCACATTAGAAAGGATTCAGTCAGTATATTTGGAGTAAATAATGAAAGCCGTTAAAAAAAGCAATTGGAACGGTACAGGAAGGCATAAAATGCAAGGAAATGCGCAAAAGTTGTTAAAAAATGTATACAATATTTAAGAAACATGAATGGTTGACGAGGTGCGATTGCAGAATAGCAGCGTACTAAAAGTTCACTGTGTATCCACTATCCACCTTTATTGTAAAT